TGGACACGGAGAAAGGCTTTGCCATAAGGAGACATTCGTTTTCAAGACATTTGCATAACATTACAGTATTGATAATGGGCAGAGACCTGGAAAACGACTTCCGTGTAACCAATAATTATTTATAACGAGATTTTAGTGTATACGGTTTATCCATATTTGGTCTGAAAATGAAGCTGCATGTTATGCAATTATTTTGGACCTAGATGTTGTATTCGCCTTTTGCAGTGTCATTTTCAGTAATTCGGATTTGAAAATTTGCTATGTCATAATAAGCAAGTATTGAAAATATATAACGAAACTGCAAACCACTTACTGGATTCCTCTTCCCCATCAGCAAGAAATGAATCGTCCCGTCGAGACAATAGCATAGTATCCCTGGTTCGAAGTACGTTTTCCGTGGCGCTTCCCAGCGCTGAAAGCAGAATCTCGTTGATCGAACAGCGGTAATGTGTAGCCACTGTTTTGACACGGGCCAGCTGGGCCCGGCTACAGAGACACAGCCTCTTGTAGCCGGTTTTTCGGGCCAGCAACGCGTTCGTGTCCGCGTTTCGAACCATGAGTCGGCTCAAGTGCACGGGTAACTCCAAGACGGTTCTCCAACTCTCTGCGACTTCGGGCCACGAAATGCCCCATTTGCTGGGTTTTCTTTTGCCCATCTCTTGGGTTCTTTCTGTCGAAAAATGTCGTCAAAAAGGCTATTACCGTACAAGGAAAATTTTGTTTTACAGGGGAAGGAATTTTTCTCGTTTAAAAAAAACACGCTGTTTTATGCAATAACAAACCACCGTTTATCCTGAGAATGAATCACAATATAGCGATTTGCCCAGTATATCCCGTGCAACGAAGCCTCGTTTTTATTTTAAATTAAAAACCATTCGAACTGTTTGTCAAAAAAAACTGGAAGGACGCTTTGTTTATTCAGTGCATTAATTCATTTTCTGTTTTTATTTTATTGATTTAGTGATTTGAAGGGGGATATGATGGGTTCAAAGAAGGATGGTCTTTATGCCGAAAAGCTACATTTCCAGGATGAGAATTGATGAATTTATTTCATGCAATTAATAATACAGTACATGAAAACTAAACGCATTAAAGAATCGCCTCAATCGATGGGTTACTTCTTGAAATAAATTTGGTTGTTGCATCATTAAGCATCACCACATCATGAAGACTTTCTTCCGGACGGAAGTTGTACATAATTTCAAGTTGGATAAGATTTTCAGCACTCTTCATCCAAGAACCATAGCATTCAGCAAATTCATACTTGAGTTCATCTCTTTTTTAAACGTTAAATTGCCGCTTTTGGGACCCAACAGTCATTGAAATCATTCATGATGACGGCTGAACGTCGAGAGGTTTTCAACAATTTTCAGGTACTTGGTTGTATACTGAGATCTTGCAGGTAATTGCGAAAAAAAATCCCTCAATGTCAGGAATTGATGAAATGGGTAGTACAGGTAGGCTCTCTTTTGCGAAAAAAAATAAATTGGGGCCAAAAAACATTCGTTGCAGAGGAAATTTTGTTGTACAGAAACCCTATAACACGGGGAGAGAACTCTTATAAGGACCACAAAAAAATCCTCATACAGACAAAAGCCTTGTAGACGAAATCATTTTAGAGAGGAGTCCACCTGTATCTGACTCACTTTGGCGATTTTCTTGATTATACTATTTTCGCAATGGAAAAAAGCGAAAATAAAAAACGCGTTTGAGCAGGAAGTTGAAGCTGGGATTCAGGCAACTACCCCTTTTTGAATAATGAAGCAAATATCTTCACTTCAACTTGCAAAATACCGTGTAAAATATCGGTCAGCGTGTATGAAAATAAAAAACTTCTTGAAAACTTAATTATTTTTTTAAACAAATTTCACGATGAACATATAGTATCTTTTTTTGCATAGAAGCAGATTTTCTTGTGTACCGCCTCGTTGTGCAATATTTCAATGCGCTCATTATGGTGCGGAAATTAAGCAAGAGGAAACCTTATTTATTCACTATCTTTTATCCGAAATCCAAGAATTTCTGCGAGACAAACGAGTCAAGCTCAAATAATTTCCTCGCGAAACCATTGGCGCAGTGCAAAAAAAAAAAAGCCGAGTCTTCATACAGACATTAGGCCATCGTTCATTCCCCAATGAATTACGTTCATTAGCAATAACACAACCATTCGCGTGTGGCATTGTGGCCAAAGAAGAGATCTTTTGTCCGACGCGTCAGCTCTGGAAAAATAACTGCGGAAGGAAGAGCAAATGCGTCGAAAACTCATAAGACTTTGAGAGATATCCGCACAAAGACGAGTTTCCCTTGTCATTGCTGAATATACCATAGTATATTCGAGATGAAAAGCAATTTTTTGCGCAGAAGAAGCTTAGCTGCTCATCGCAAGAGAAACACAAGAGAAAAACCGACGATCGAAGAAGCACACAGAAGGGCATTTATGTCATTCTTTTTTTTTTTTTTTTAGAATACAGTAGAAACTAGGGAGAAAATTGGGAGCGCATTCGATTTGTTCGCGGGCGAAAATACGATGGATTTATGAATTTATCTCTGAGAATTTGTGTGTTATTCATACGTATCAAGAAAGTTTTGAGAAAGTGCAAGATGCCTTTGTTGAACACAGCATGAATTGATTTGAAAATCGTCCTACGTCGTCATCTCTGTAAATAAGCGGGAAATATTCGTACATTTCTCATTTATCTTTATTATTTTAGCGCACATTTTTATAAACTTTGGAATCAGAATATGGTTTCTTGGAATTACTGTTGTTTTTTTAGCAAAATGCAGGCTGACAATACCCATTTTTTAGACATCGTGTAACCCTTCAATAATTTCTGAAATTTGTTGGGTCGATCATTGAAGATAGCTACCCAGGAAACTTCAGTCATCCGCTCCCGCTGACATTTCAGAGAATTAGAAATATTTCATGAGTTGTAGTTTTCATTATTTCAAGTCAAATTTTGTCGACATGTTTCTTCGGATTTAACGTCAACTTGAAAAACAAAGCACAGCTTTTTACCCTGTTCATGATCAATTTTCTCGGTCGCATTGGGAGCTAAGCTGAAAATATATTTGATACAGTTTTTCTCTGGTGATCGCGCCACCAGCAGAAGCTTCCTTGATTTTTTTTAATTGCATCTTCTTTGATCAGGATTTTATGAAAACTGTAAGCTAGATGAGTCCTTACTTGGGTCACCAGGTAAAGAAAGCTTGTTTCTGGTACAAACGCCACCAGCTGCCAGTTCGTCAAAGAAAGCCGGGGCCAGAATGTGGATCAGAGCCACGCCGTCCATCAGGCAATGATTGAACCTGAAATAAATGGCGTAACCCTCTTCGTCCTGGAAAGAAAAGTAGGCAAGAAGTCATGATGTAATTTACAGGTTTGAATGTAGATTATAGAATGCTGATGACTTTTATTACGGATTGAAATTTTCTATTCAAATAGAAGAATTATGTCGACGATCGTCTCAAGGGTTGCTCATGTACTGATCCCTGTTATTTCAGCCGCCATTAAGTTATAAATGGGTATTATAAATGTCTTTCATGCATGGTTGCGACGAAATGAACTCTTTTTATTTTATTCGTTTTATTTTATATTTGAACTTTGCCAGCTGTTCCCGGTATTGTAAAATCATTTCCGTCATTAACCCTATAATGAACGTAGAACGTTTTCCAGAAATGCGAAAAATCATCAGCACGTCATACGACGAGGTACAAACAAATCCCTGAATCACTCCATTTCACGCCATAATTGACGACTTTTGAATATTAACATACGACTCATACGAGGAATCAAAAACTATATTTAACACTCGTGTATATGAGGTTAATTTTTAGTGGGACTTACAGCAATATATGGGTGAATTCGAACATATACTCACATAAGGCATAAGGCTTCAAATATTTCTGAGCTGCGTATATTTGAATACAGCAAGCCTATCCAGTCAATATCGAATATTAAGGATGAATCAGACATCAATAGCTAATTTATCACGCGTTAGTAACTCATATACTGAGCGGTTGAAGCTATGAGGCTGAATGATGGATCAAATTGAACCTTATATGTTTTATTTATTATTTCTAAGTGACTTCTGGACCAAACTCCCTTTTGAAAAACCTTGCACGGCTTGAAAGTAATGATTTTAAAAACCGCGTACACTTCTTCCAAATAAATTGCTGAATTGCCTGCAACGTTGTATTCTCCTTGATACTGAATTCTGGAGCCATTGGCCATTTCAAAAATGAAGTTTGATAAAATACGATTGTTAATTTTGAGGAGGAAGTACTAGTCAAACGCAAAAGAAAAACACGAAGGCGAACAAATCAATGGCTTTAACTAGTGACTAGTGAATCAAGGCTATACTAAGATTTGAACAGAAAAATTGAGCAGGGACCTTTCGTAAAATGAAAAGAAACGGAGCAAACTTTGTGGATATTCTCACATTGGCTCTGGATATCACTCGAAGTTCCCAAGGAGAGGAAGCAAGTGGGAAGGGTCTACTGCACACGTCAGACACGAGCACTTCGAGTTCCCGACGATTGGCGTAGGAGCGCGGAGAACCGTCTTCCTCACTGCGCAAAAAGTCGACGTGGCTCGCCAATGCGGAATTGGCGAGGGATTGGCTCGTGCTGGCGCCCTGATGATGATGACCGCCACATGTTGCAGCAGCTGCGTCGTCGGGCACCCAAAAATAATATTCCCAGCAACGTTGCGGGTGCTGAGTTAGCCGCCGGAACTTGTGCTGGCGCATGATGGACGCCATGCGCGAACGAATCGCCTTCAGGTCCGCCTTGGCGCCTTCCACCTTTATAAAATTGGGTGGGGGAAAATACCAGCAGAGTCATTGATTAGAAATATCACCCAAAAATTGACTTCTGATTCTGAATTCCTGAATCATTCCGTATCTGTACCCTTCCTTTTTTTTTTTGCAACCATGCCACTTGAATTACATTGCCGCTCGTAGTCGTGCCACTGTTGTCCTTTCTATTACAGGACTGAGTCGAGAATAAAAGAACCAAGTTCTTATTCNCAGCAGAAAAAGAACAACAAGTGAACCAAGTGCGAGACTCAGTGCGACAGTGCCCTATTTTCCGTTGCTGTTTCTTTCAGGAGCCATAAAGGCTTTATGGAAATGGCAATTGTTATTGCTATCCATCAGGAGGAATCAGGCATGGATCCGACAGATGTTCGGATCAAGAAGAATGGAAATATCTTCTTCAGTTGGCATCGAGTGCCATTCGTTAACAGATGATCCGTTGGGCCTGAAATTTTGGCGGTTAACTTTGGTGAGCATTGTTAGCTTAGTGCATTCTTTTCAAATTTTTTCGATCGTAACTTTTTGATTTTTGTCTTGGACGCGGACGCGTCGTTAACGACTTCCTGTCTCCAGGAGTCAACAAAAGTTGATGGGTCTCCTGGAGCTGGTGGCCTCAAATATTGTTTTGCGAATCGTTTGTTTGTTGAGTGACTTCGTGCTGTTGGGGATCTTCAACTTCATCAAGAAGAAAATTCAGCTAGTGAAAAGTGAGTCCCAAACAAAATTTTATTTTTCAGATATAACAATTTTTTCGGAATGTTCACAGATGGCGTTCCTGAGGATCCTAGTTTTGCTGGTCGTCGGTGTTGCAGCTGCTGGGGCGGACTGCGGTCCCAAGGACGGCGTCTTCAAGTGTCGGGATGTTTGCGGAGAGGTGGTACGGGACGCCGTCGGTTACGGACGTCGGGTGACGTTCGTCGGATTGACGCTGTTCCTGGACTGCGTTCGTCAGGCGGATCTCAAGGTGAGTTTTTTAGATATTGTTTGGTGAGGTGGAAATAACAGCTTCCCTTTTTCTGAAGGAGGTGAAGCTGATGTCGCCAACGGTCTGCGTCGGGCGTCGAGTCGACATGGATCGTGTCGTGACGCCTTGGAGGTTCGAGTCGACATGGATCGTGTCGTGACGCCCTGGAGGTGGTGCGAGGAAGTCGTGCCACCCGAGCCGGAAATTTCGACGGCGGCAGTTCCGCCGGTGGTTGGTGAGTTTGTTTTTGTCAGCTTGTCCATACGAACATAATCATTTCAAGACACAACTCACATAACACGCTCACAACAACAATACATATAACCAACACCTGTATCCTGATTACCAAAAAATTTTCCGTCACCAATTTCTAAATAAATTTTGTATGTACAGATGAGCCTCGCCCGGTGGCGCCGACGGCCAACCTGGCGGTTGTCCACGTACCGGCGAGCAAAACGCCGTTCGTGGCTCGGGCGCCGCCCTCGACGCAACAAAGCGTCGTGGTGGCCCAGGAGGTGCCCCATGTCATCAGGGCGCCATCGTCGACGCCTGAAGTGACGGTCAACATCAAGCATGGTGTTGCGCACGTCGAGGCAGATGTGGACCCTTGGACTGCAATGGTCCTAGTCTTCATGGGCCTTGGGGGAGCGGGAGCCACGTCTTTGGCTGTCTTTTTCCTGAAGTGACGGTCAACATCAAGCATGGTGTTGCGCACGTCGAGGCAGATGTGGACCCTTGGACTGCAATGGTCCTAGTCTTCATGGGCCTTGGGGGAGCTGGAGCCACGTCTTTGGCTGTCTTTTTGGTTTGGCTAGTCAAGTTCATCAGGAACAAGGTTAGCCAATTTTTTCTTTTGCTTTAATAAAAATGATTAACAATGCTTTTTTGCTTTCATGCTTGCTTTGCTTTTCTGTGCATGCCTTTTTCAAAATAGAGGAAGAAAAGGATTCTAAAGTTAGACAAAGCAAAAATTAAAGAATGCAAAGTAGGATCTATGCCCAACATATTTTTTAATGGGCTAGATTCAGATGATGAGGAATTTGAAGTCTTCTCGCAGAATTATGCGGATATAAGGGCCAGATCCCCAAGAGTATCTACATTTAGACAAGGTAAACAACTTAGCATGTAATATGTTTTGTTACGTACGTTATTAAAAACTACGAAACGAACCCCGAAAAAGAAAAACAGAAAAGACATGTCAGCAGCATGTACTCCCTCAACCACTCCTACGACTGCGGCCTCCTAGTCGTCCTAGGGGAAGCCCAACCGGTGGAAGATCTGCTGGGGCTGGAAGAGGCGGATAAAACCGTCGAAGAAAGGCAAAAGGAAGAGTTGGTCCTTGAGGACAATAATCCTTTTAAAGAAATGTTAAACGCGTAGAGGTATTAAAGACGCGTCAAAGAAAGTGCCATTTTTTCGTACCCGCGTTTTTATATGGGTCAAGGCTGCATGCAATAATTTTTGATGCTTTGCTTGGGGCTTTTTCTCTTTGTCTTTTCTGTACAGTCATCGTACATGAGGGAACTGGTGCGAATGCTGACGCCGGAGGATCAGCAGGATCCGGAAGCCCAACCGGTGGAAGATCTACTGGGGCTGGAAGAGGCGGATAAAACCGTCGAAGAAAAGCAAAAGGAAGAGTTGGTCCTTGAGGACAATAATCCTTTTAAAGAAATGTTAAACGCGTAGAGGTATTAAAGACGCGTCAAAGAAAGTGCCATTTTTTCGTACCCGCGTTTTTATATGGGTCAAGGCAATAAGAGAAGGTGTAAAAAGAATTTTTGGCCTCTGATTCTCTTTTTTGTTTGTCTCTTTCAGCCGAATTTCCTTTTCAGAAAGTGATCAGCGAATGGACAAGATTCCTGTGGAGGAGTCCATCTCTAATCTAGGATAAATAGCAGGCTTAGGAGTAGGAGATTGAATAAACCTCACAGATGCTTGAGCATCATCAGTTCTCCTGGAAGGAGAGGATCTCCTAATCCGTAAAACATAGCGAATTTTAGCATAGCATAGATAAACAAGACACAGTAAGATAATGAGCAACAATGAGACTGACTGTTAGTATATTTATATTGGCATCAGAGACTTTACTTAAACATCGAGTGACTACAGACTCCTTTAAACTACCTAGGGACCGTACTGTCGTCCATAAAGAACGTGGCGTAATTAGAGTTATAAGAGTTGTTTAGGCAACACATCAGTAAAAGGACCATTCACAACTGTATAGCGACAATTAGGCTTAAATTGAAGAATTCCAGAGTAAGGTAATTCATAAGAATTTTCAGATGCAGATATGCTAGAATTCTTTGAACCAGAACAATACTGAGTGATCCTTCCCTTGTCATTATCCACAAATGCAAATTCATCACTATCCAGCTGCACCACAGTGTTGCTAGGAGTGCTAATTTG